CCAGCTTGATAATGACGCATGTCATGTCGCGTTAACGTTGCACTTCTTCACGCGCCCTTTTTCCTTTTTAGTAGCTAATTTTAAGGAATTATTATTATTATAGAGATGGAAGGATGAAAGAAATAGAGAAAATTGATAAACACGTGAAAAAAAAATATATATATAAAAAAGGAAAGAAAAAAATTGGGTGAAGGTGTGTTATATGAATGAAAATGTTATATTTTTAAGTACACTAAAGTTATTCATTTCATTCCTAAATTTTGGATGTTTTTATCTCAAATTTTGTTTTGTTTTAGAATTTTAAATGCAAGTATATATTTTATTTTTAATTATATATTTATATTATTTATTGTAGTAATGAGTGGGAAGAAATGTCTTTAATGACCTTTGTAATGGTGTTGATGGTTCTATTGAGAATCCTATATAACCTTTCACAATGACATTTAGAATGATGGTGTAGTCCTTATTTAAATAAATTTGCAAGATAAGAAATATATACAAAATTTATAAAATAAAGAATAAATGTATATCATTATGAATGAGCCCCTTTATATATATAGAAGATATTTAATGAGAAAAGTTGTCAAGTTTAATCATGTCACGTAAAGTATTAATTTATAAAAATGTATTATTAAAGTGTAACGATCCGATAGATCCTTATATTTATTACATAAGTTGACAACAAGTAGAAGTCAAAAGATACATAAATTATCTAGACAAATTAGCATACAAAAGCAACTGACTATACATGTATAAAGTAGTATGGGCATACAAAATACCGTGTACATAAACTATATACATCATAATCTCAAAACATCTACATATAAACCTCCTAAGTTGTTAGTCAAGTCTACACAAAAGATAGCCTTACCCTATGGGTGTTCATGGATCGGATTTTTGAAAAATCCAAATCGAACCGAACCGATCCGTTTCATAAAAATGGATCGATTAACCGATCTGTTTTTTATAAAGTGGATTAGTTTGGTTGTTTTAAAATATGGATCAATTTTTTTGAAATGGGATCAATTCAGTGTGGTGCAGTTATCCATGTTTTACACATATATAGATCAATTTTTTAAAAAAATTAAATCGAACTAATTCACTTTGTAAAAATAGATCGGATAACTGAACCAATTTTATAAAGTAGATCGATTCAAATTTTTTTAAAAAAATAATGGATCAAATTTTTCAATACAAGTCGAATCAATTATGGATCGGTTAAGATCAATTTGAAATTTTTACACACCACTACCCTACCAAGAGGGATCACATGAAACAAGCCACCTTTAGCATGACATACAAAACATCACTTCAAGCCAAGTACCTACTCTTTTCTTGTTCGCATACCAAGTATGGTCATAGTAGTTCAAACTACAATGGAAACAAGGGTAAACTTATGAAAGAAAAATATACAACAAGTACAATAAGAGCAACAAAAACATATACCAACATAGTACAACTCACAAATTAACAAATTCTTCAACATTTATCAACTTTAATATACTCAACATCTCAGAATACATATATTAACAACTAATGCATCATCATACATATCAACTAAGGAGATCTACTAAAATTGAGGTGAGTAGTTTAAGTGGTTTGACCCTACCAAATCACAGTGTTAGACCTATCTCAATTAGATAAGGTATAGTGCAACATTAGGCCTCAAAGAAAGTCAAGTATAAACAACTTAGTTTGATTATTCAGGTTTTGTTACTTAAACCAGGAAGTATGGTATTATGTTAAGATAGAATAGTTTTGGTATGAGCCTACCACAATATCAGCTTGCAACATTAAGTCACCTATGGGATTAACCCATTGACTACTCTTAAAATACCGCAACCTTCCAATGTTAAGTTAGAGACCAAGTCCCTAACTTCATACTTTATTCGATTAGTCTTTTAACAACAATTTACCTATAACATCTATGTATCTAGGGATGGCAAACATACCCGTACCCGCGGGTAATACCCGAACCCGTCCTGACTTTGACGGGAAATACCCGGTTTGACCGGGTACGGATACAGGTACGGGTAAAACCCGATATATTAAATCAGGTACGGGTACGGGTATGTACTTACTCGCCCCATACCCGTACTCGTACCCGTCCCCGTTCTCATTTTTAATTTAACACTCAGTTTTAATTTAATTATATTAAAAAATGTTAATATTTTTTTATGTGTGATTATTTATTATAATATAATATAAAGAAATAACCTAATTATAATTATAATATAATATAAAAAATAATTTAAAAATATCATTTTTTATAAAAAAATAAAAAATAAAAAAAATTGACGGGTACGGGTACGGGTAAGGGGATACCCGATACCCGACAGGGACGGGGATAGGATGAAAATCTATACCCGACGTGTATGGGGACGGGGACGGGGATGGGTTTAACTCACGGGACGGGGACGGGTATCATGAAACCCGTACCCGACCCGCCCCATTGCCATCCCTATATGTATCTCATTTAAGACATGTATCTCAACTTCATGTTTACGGCTTCACAACTTTAGCAACTATATGACATACAACTTACAACTTAACATCATTGATTCATCTATCAACTTACAACACAAATATTCATCATCATATATCATCATACATACATCATGATCATCAATATTTGATTATAATTCATCATAGAACAACAATTCAACAACAAGCACTTCACGGCCAACGCTACTTAAATGGCACCTTGTGTCATTAAGACAGAGAGCTCCCTATCTCGCCCACTCCCAATGTCTCACCCCTCATGCTCGACATGATTGAGGCAGAGAGTGCTCCACTCTCTTACGTTTGGTGTGGTAAAACCCACATTTGACCCCACTCAGGTAGAGGCTCTTTACCTGACTCACGTCCGACACCACACCATCAATGTTCGGCTTGAATCCAAGTAGTAATGAGTCTCTCTCCTCATGTCTAATGCCTTTTAGATCACACCCAACACTAGTCCAACCCAAGGTTATTCCCTCTTCTTACTCTCGATGTCACTAATCTTGTGTCTGACATGGAGACAGGGGGAACCCTCTGGTTGGGCTACACCTGATGCAACATAGTTTTGCACTTAAACAAAACTCGATTTCATTCCAAAACCCCTACAAACCAAAAGATCACCGACATACAACCAATGAGATAACATATAGGCATCAAAAATAACTCTAAAGTAGCTTAAAACATCACATGCAATCGCAAATTTTCAACATTCCTCATTGTCCCCTCATGAGCAACTTCAAGGGTAACCCAACCCTCAACTTAGCCACTAAGAAAATCAGCAATACAATACAAAATTAAAGATTTCCATATGCAACAATCAACATACATTCCATACAGAAATAATATAAGCTTCCCGTACCTCTTGTAGAATCCTAAATTAGCAAGAATGCAAGATATAGGGAAAATAAGGATGCTCCACACAACTCAATACGATTCTAAACCTAACCAACAACTCAACTGTTCCGGTTAGCTACAAAAAAAGAAGAAGGAGAAGAAAGTCTCAACCAAGGAGAAAAGGAGGAGAAAAAGAGAAAGAAATCCCTCTCACACCAACTCTCACCCTCTTACTAAACATGAGTGTTATATAGAGTATACATTGATATATTTGAGTTTGTTAAGTAGATGCCAAAATAGACATAATCATTGTAATTTGTACCATTTAAGAAGTTATTTGTTGAGCTTGACATTAAGAAAAGTAACACCAGCTTAATTACTTTTTTTTTATGATTCCAATTTAATTACTTTTTTTTTACTGTCTCAATTTAATTACTTAAAAGCTAAAATAATTCTCAATTAAAGCGTCAAAGTAATTAAGAGAAAAAAAATCAATTTGTTACTTTTACAAAACAATTATAATTAAATATTAATACTACTTTTTATTGATATTTACATTAAAAATAAATATTAGTCCATCAAAAAGCTTAATACATGAAAGACACAATCATAAATTGGAGTAATTAAAATTGATTTAGATATTTATAAAACAACAAATGAGAGCATTTAAATTTTAATTTATACAAATTAAGTGTTTACAAATTTTTCTAAAGAAAAATTAAACAACTACATTTAGGAATAGACAACTAACTAGTTGTACTTACTTTTTATATTTAACTTTTAAAAATCTAAAATTGTATTTATTTTATTTAAAATGTAAAATAAGAAAAGAAAATAGTGATGTAAATAATTAGATTTTTAATTAGAGGCACTAGTTCTTTGAACGCGCGTGACAAAACTTTTTCCCCTTCCGAATATAACTGTTTAATGTTTATATGATTTTTAATATTTTTAATATTTTTATTGAGGTCTACATTTTCTGTCCACGCATCCCATCATGACTCAGTCACCGAGCATCATGATTTTATTATTTTCGGTGGCTTCCACTAAACGACGTCGTTTCCGTTTAACATGACTTATTCTTGTCCAACAATAAGAGGTAACCCCGTACACACACTTTTTTCTAGTGTCAATTCTCATAAAACATCGTAAATAATAATAATAACCAATTAATTACAATATTTTATTGTTTAATAATAAATAAAATACTAACATTTTCCACATCATTATCATTTATCAGCTACCTTTTCTTTGGTATACAAAATTAGCCACTTTTCCTTTTTATCACTAAATATAATTCTGCATTTCATATTCCCAGTATCGAGAAAGTCGCACACATAACAAGAACCGCACAAACAATTAAATCAAATAAAAAGAAAAGGTGTAAAGGTCCTAAATTAGTAAATTTTCTATATTTTTATTTCATTTTAATTGTTTATTAAACTTTTATTACAATAAAACGTTAATTGTTTATTCAGATTAATTAGAAGGAAATAAATGTTTATTTACAGAGAAGAAATACAAAGTTTAGTTTAGTTGTATAATTTATAAAATCCAAGTTTGGAACTTTTAAAGATGATAATGTAATGACTTAATGAGTAAAATAGTTTTGTTTCTCGTGAAAAATATGCTTTTTTCTGTTCATAGCTTCATATAGTAATGTTCTTTTCAGTGATAATAAAATAGAATATTTTTACTATATCTTCTTTTAAGACATTCTCCATTTTCTCCATTTTGATTCACTTGCAGAGACTCTTCCATAGATATGGTGGTGACCCTCTTGCAGTTCCATCTAGCTGTTGCATCTTTATGATTTTACCTGCCACTGCTTTCCCGGTATTCACTCTTCTTACATTTCAAGCATTCTCTCTTGTTCATACTTTCCATGACTTTTCCCTCTGTATTTAACCTCACACTATGTTCTGCATTATCATTTTTCTACTTGGTTTTTGCTTCAAGTTCTGAACTTTATCACTGGGGTTTCTCCAGCACATGCTTGATCTGACCCTTTCTGTGTTGTCTAATGCTTTGTGTTTTTTTGTTGTTTTTGTTTTTGTTGTTGTTGTCTTTTTAGTTTGGTGTCTCACAGTTGGATTCAATTTATCTGCACCTAACTTGCTTTAAGTGAAGTTAAATTTTAGTGTCTTAAATATCTTTACATTGAGTGTTGGAAGTTCAAGATAAACCACCAAATCTAGGGTGGCTGCTTCACTGGCAGAGTTACTCTTCTTCTGTTTCCCCAACTTTAAATTTTCCCTTGAGTCAACTGTACTTGATAATAATTTATGAGTTAAAAAATCACTCTTTGCTGGCTGACTTGGATTGTTGGTAAAATGCAAATCTCAATCTGATTTGTTGCAGTTCAGAGGGCTTGTGATTGTTCAACTACATATTCAACGGCATTTAAGTTAGAACTTAGAAGTGGTGTCTTGAAAGGACCCTATCTTCATTGCAGCAATGAAAGGAAAGAACAGGAGAAGTGGTGGTGCTATTCAGATGGAATACCTCATTCACATTCAGGAGATTAAGCCTTGGCCCCCATCACAGTCTCTAAGAACCCTTCGTTCTGTATTGATACAATGGGAGAACGGTGAACGCTATTCGGGGTCTACCGGTCTTGTTTCGCCGTCCCTTGGTCCTAATTCTAGCGCTGGTGAGGGGAAACTTGAGTTTAATGAGTCATTTAGGCTTCCTGTGACTCTGTCAAGGGATGTATCTATACGAAATAGTACTGCTGATGTGTTCCAGAAGAATTGCTTGGAGTTCCACTTGTATGAGACTCGAAGAGATAAGACTGTTAAAGGGCAGTTGCTGGGGACTGCCATCATAGACTTGGCAGATTGCGGCATACTTAGGGAGACCTTGAGCATTCGCACGCCGTTGAACTGCCAGAGGAACTACAGAAACACAGATCCGCCGCTTTTGTTCATTCAGATTGAGCCTGTTGAAAAGAGTCGCGCTAGGTCCTCATTGAAGGACAGCTTGTTGAAGGAGGTGCCTAAGGAAACTAATGACAGGGAATCTGTGTCAGCATTGATGAATGGAGAGTATGCTGAGGAAGCTGAGATTGCCTCTTTTACTGATGATGATGTTTCCTCTCATTCGTCTGCGGCTGCAGTCACTACTTCCTCTGAGTCTAGTGCGTGCATGCCTCCGGAACATGAAGAGGTATTTTCTCACATCCATTATCTGATTTGTAGACGTTTGCATTTCTGTTTCTTTAACCATGTTCGTATGTGTGACAAATTGTATTGTCCTCTGGCCCTATTTGCAATAGATTACTTCATCACAAATGTTTCTAGGCTTTGCACTTGTTGACCAAGGTTTAGAACTTGCCATCAAACGCTTGACTGGACCTTTACATATTAAATTGTTTTTATGAATCAATACAAGGAAAATAACGATTCCTAATTTGTTACACGTCCCATTACCCGAGTATACAATTGGAAGAAGCATGTGAGCAAGGAGAGTGGGAACAGAGAGGAACAAGGGTAGGGATGATTTTTAATTTGTTATATCAGATTGTGAGTCTATTATGAGTGAGTTGGTTAAATGGATGGAATGGAAAATATCAGGAGCATGAATAGATTGATTCAGGTGGTAGGGAGGTCACAGCCCCTGGTGCAGTGACCATTCCACTGATCACCCCCTTCCACTGTGGGTCATATAATACTGTAAGTAAGGGGATCTCTAGTGTGATTTCAATAAAATCTCAGTTTGACAGTTTCCTATCCATATCATGTTACATGTTTCCCTAC